GCAGTCACCACCATTTGCGCAGAATCCAAACTTTTACATCTCCTTTAACCTAATTAAACTAACCAATTTAAATATGTTCAGTTGCCAGTTACCACCTAGCATAGCATAGCAAGTTAAAAATTTCTCTGGTAGACTCTGACCTGATTATTAGTAACACAGTTAAGGACAGAGAAAAACTGTGCTGTGTTTAATATAACTGAGTGCTAAAGGGAATGTTTGCTGTGATTTAAATATGCTGAGATGCAATGCGCAAGTTTGCATTCCCTTTGCTACCCAGAAGCAAGACCCAGCTGTTAGGAGCTGCTAACAGGCACCTATGGAGAAGTCCTCTCAGTACAAGTAGTACAAGTAGTAAGTAATTGTGGAGCTACAGATTTCACTTCCATTTTAGCAATTCCTACTTGTGTTTTGTAATTTCAGTTTTACTATTAGCCATTTAATTACAGATTCTTATAAAAATTATCTCTCTAAATTGTGTTTTAGCTGTCTGCAGTGACCAGCTCCACTCCATGGACTTCAGCTGGTTTTCTTGCAGGGATATAGCCATATGCAAGCAGTGTTTTATTGGCATGCAATCCCTCTCTCTGCCCATATAGGACTGAAAAGCCAGCAGCTTTCTTGGGAATAAAGCCGCACACACCTTGGAATTGCACACCATGGTGTCCCCCCACTGTGGAAAACTAGCTCTTTATTTCCTATGCAGGATGGTTTTCCTACAGTAATGTAGGAATGTATCCTAGGATACATTTCCCCATTTGGCTTTTGTTCTTGCAGCACTTTGGGTAGGTTAGGCTGCAGATAGCTTCCCACTGCCATCTTTTTTCTCCAGTGACCATCAGCAATGTCAGAAAGCACTTTGAACTGTGATACACACAGAGTGATGGTAAACATAGATGCCTTCACAGAATGGAGGTATTAAGAACTGTATGGCTCATTTCTTAAAAAATGGGTTTCTGGAAAAAACTAAAGCTAACAACATTAACATCTTAGGTTCTCTCTACAATATCCACTTAAAATTGATGTGGTCTACTCAAGACAAGGAAGAAATCTTGAGACTTGGTATGTGCCAGGAGACTGTCAGGCCTTGTGGTCTCTTTATGAAACCAATGTTGCTGGCAAAGCCAGAGTCTGTCTGCATGGACCAGGTTGCAGACACCTCCACACCCCGTGCAGGACCACTGGGCAGGGCACTGGGCCACAGCTTTGCTTGTTACTTTCCTAGTGGTAGGAGAGCAACAGTAGGTCAATAAACTGTTTATGTGGAAGAGTTATTAAGAAAAAAAAATAATAAAAAAAAAGAGAAAGAAAAAAGAAAGATCAAAGGGATAGAATATTTCCCATTCCACCACGAAAATCAGCCATAATCATGACCAGCAACAGCAGGCATGTACAACGAGTTTTTCCTTTTTAAGGAAAGAAGAAACTGAAGAGGGAGGGACAAGTGGGAAGGAATAAAGGGCTGTAAAAAGGAACCAATTTTAATGCACCATTATAATATTTGAGCATTTTCTCCCTGACAAGCAAATCTGCAGAGCATTTAAGATCCATATGTGACAAAGAGTCAGCCAGAGAGGGAGGAGTGGAAGAAGATGCCACTTGAGCTGGCACATCAGAGGATCTTTAAATAGAAAAGCTTTCAGGGAACTCGGGGTAGGCGCTTACCACACAAAACTTAATTACAGCCATACTCATTTGAAAAAAAATATTACAGCCCTCTACACCCCCCCTCCCTTTTTTTTTCTGCAGCAACTGGGTAAGGGAAGGGGGGAAAGCCACTAAAACAGCATGGGACTCCAATCCTGGCATCTCCTGGGGGATGCCTTGGGGTGGAGTTGCCAGCTCCCTCTGGGGCTCTGAGTCCCTGGGGAGACATACCTGTTAGTCAGCTCCTCTGCTTCCTCTGGGTCCATGGCCCCCTCCTCCTCCTCCTCCTCTTCTTCTTCCTCTTCCTCCTCCTCTTCTTCCTCTTCCTCATCTCCTATGAAGGACGAGGTCTCGGATGCCCTGTCACACTCAGCACCACGGGAGCCCTCCATTCCCTTCCCTGCTCAGGCCCTTGCCGGTGATGTTTACCCCCAACCCTGTCCTCCCCAGGGCTGCCTGAAGCAACTGTCATCCCCAGTAGCACTCACTTTTCCTGACTCAGGGCAGTCTTTAAATAGAAGGCAGCAAAGTTACAACACAGAGTCACTGCTGTTCCTACCCTGGCTCCTAGCACCAACCCGATGCCAAGACACGTGGCCAAGTGGCCATCTCTCCAGCTGCTCTCTCCCTTCGCCTGCTGCTGCTGCCACAGAGCCACTTGTACAGCAGACAGGGCAGTCAGGCAACAGCAGGAGGAAGGGGGCCAAGCAGACCTTCCCCCAGTCACCTCTTGCAAATTTGGGGTGGATGGTACAGATGAAGCAGAATGACAGTTTATCTGTGGCCCCAAAAGAAGGTGCATTTCACAAGTTCTGCCCTTAAACACACCCAGAGCGCCCCTAAGCTTGAGCTGGAAAGGTCAAATACAATAACTAGTGGATGAGCCTCCGACAAACACATTTAATTATTAATATTGTACTGTAAGAGATATCAGATGCACTGTGGTACTTAACTATGCAAAAGGAATGCATTTAAATCCTTGATTTATCAATGTGTTAAATCACAGAACATTTAAAACTTCTATTTGAGTGGACTTGAACCAATTACAGTTTAAAGCAAATACCAGCTATACTACAATGCAGAGTTTAGGTTAAGCCACATTTACCTTTTATTATTCTGCATTTTACACAAAATGCAGTGCTTTTCACAAACAAAACAGAAATATTTCCAACCTGTACTAGTCAAAATAATGACTTTATTTAAAAAAATATTTTTAGAAGAGGAGGAAAAGCACTAAACCCCAGATTCTAAGTAAAGAACTTCCAAGATATCTCAAGTATAAACAACTGTATGCACAGTATAGCTGTAATGCCCCCAGGTTTTTTTTTTTCATTGTTCTTCAAATAAATAGATGGCTATAAATCAATTAGCAAACTCTTCCTTAAGAAAGTTGTAAGTATAGAAACACACAGGCATGTATTTCTGACTACAAGCTACCTCTGCACGCTAAATTAAAATTCTCCAGACATTTCAAAATACTATGTACAGGTAAAACCTTTCTGTTCTCTTGACCCACATAGTGACACACACAATTTACAAGGTGACAATGTAATTTTTTTTTGAAAACTATTTGAAACAGATATTAAACTAAATTAAACTCTACATTTCATCATGAACATAGTGTACACAACAAAATGTAAAGAATATTCTTTCTCAATTTTCATGTGGAAGAGCATTACAAGTTTTCTAGAAATGCTTATAGATGAAACATACATACATTGTTTTGATTCATTGATACATACAAGTTTTGATTCAGTCTTCAGCACAGCAAGAGGAAAGGCAAGTACCAGAAACCCTTCAACCTATTTCCATCTGTACTTCTCACAAGTGAATTTGACCTGTAAATGGACCAAAATCGCACATTCTTTCATGCTCTTCAGACAAGCATCATAGTCAGTAAAATCAAGGGAAATATTTATATATGAATACACAAGGATTACAGAGAACAAGGCAAAAAAAAAGTAAACCACAAAATACAGGACAACCCATAGCACGTACAGTACAATAAATCAAGAGTGACATTTGCTGATGGACTTAAATTTAACATCAAATATACTGTGAATTGAGTCCAGTAACCCAAGTTCAAGTAAAACATTAGTTCCAAATAAATGTATGGGACTCATAAATATATTTTATTCACAAATGCTAACTTCAGGTTTCATATAAATCATCTTACATTTTTATATGAATCATCCTTTTATCATCACCCTGCAATGTGAGTCTTAAAATTGATTTATATTTTCTTTGTGAGGGATTTTTAAAAAATAACACCTTATACTGTCCACACACCTAAAAGTACTGAGAGTTCACTTACACATTCACATTTCAGGACAGGTGAGAGCAAGAGCTAGAAGAGAAACTTTAAGTTTCACAGTGTATAGCCTATCATAGTTCTGCATTACTGTCACCAAATGTGAAGCTCTTGTCAACCTTTGGTCCTACTGTGCACCTCTGAACCTGTTAATTTAGTCCTGAAGGACTGAAGAGAGCTCTTAAAATCCTAGAGAACACACTAGTGGTGTCTGACACGTGACATAAGAAAAGACAAGAAAACCCAATGGCAAAAAGAGCAGTCAAGAATAATAATTAAAAAAAAAAAAAGTGCTGAATTAAAGCAGTTGTATTTCAAGGCAATAACAAATCCCAGAGAAGACAACATCTTGCACACATACTAAAACCTTAGTCAGTTGTGAATATTACTTTTTACCAAAGAGCTCTCAGAAAAAAAATATTCCTGCTAGGACGTATTCCAAGGGATAAGTAGGTAAAAGTTTTTATTTTGAAGTTGAGGAAAAGTGAAAACTTAACTTTACTACTAAATTTATGATAGCCATTAGCCATTTTTCACTCTGGATACCTGTCCAGAGAAGATGAAAACCCAGGACATTAAACCTCTAACAACTTCAGACTATACAGAACTGAATCCAAAGTTAAAATCCAGCTCCTACCCACTCTCCCCAAGATGTTTATTTTGTGTTATTATATCTGAAGTTTCTGACAAAGTTGCAGCCCACTATTTAACAAATATTCTATCAACAGGCTTGTTCCAAAAAATTTGGGAAAAACTTTCATCTAGAACTTCTGGTTATTTCATGGCATATCAGGAGATAAACTTAAGAAAAAAATACAAAAGGATTCTTTTGAAAGATACAGACCATTGAGGCTACAGACCTTAACTAGTATTAAAAATACCACAGAATTGGTAGGGCAATTTTAATAGAGTAGCTCAGAGATGCCACAATTTTTTAAACTAACCTTTTAAAAAGAGTTAGGAAGAAGTGGTTTCAAACATGAAGCATTAAGTTAAGGTGTAAGAAATGTTGACACAATAGGTGATGCAATACAAACTCATAAGAAAGTTTTATGCATTTTATTAAGTTTTGTTTCTCACATTCAGCTCTCTTAAAATATATTTTTACCAACTTTAAACATTTATGTCCCTTCTTATTTATCCTAAGTCAGGAAAGTTTTCAATTTTCTAGACAAAGATATAGCCAATATATTTTTTAAGAAGATACAGCCAACACTCCCTTTTCCCAGAATCTACATAGAGCTTGTAGAGCATCTTTGAATCCAGACATTATCCTGTCCTAAAATCTTGTGCTTCAATTTTACATAAAGTGAATCAAAGTGAATGCTTCACTGACACCCAAGTCTACCATCCTCCTATACAGAAAGAGCAACGAGGGTGAACATATGCAAGAAGGAAGAACATTTCAGTGGACTGCTAGAGTCATATTAAAACTGAAAGACAGTTTAAATTGCAGAAGAAAAGTCAATCGCAGAAACAAGGCAAAATTCTACATAGACTAGACTGTGATGAAGTGTGTACGAAGTAATCTCACATCAGGCATATAATTTACAGTACTTAGAACTTCTAAATAAACTAGAACTTAAAAGTTTGCACAAGAAGACATAATGCTTGTTATTTTACAATTATAAGGGTTTTCACACTCTTGTTAGAGAATGTAATGAACCAAACTTTTGCCTATTCACAGATATACTGCAGAATAGCCATGACAGATCTTGATGAATTGCAACACAGGTCTTACCTCATGAAGCATTTTCTATTCTACTTAATTATAGCAAATATTTTAAATACTCAGTACAAAACAACATAAATTGGAAAAATAACCCGTATCTTCCAGATATAAACTTTATTACACTGGACACCATATAAAGTATTAAACTTAAAAAATGGAAGTACGAATTTGATATTGACAGTGGTAAATACAGTCTTCAAAATTAATTGGTCTTCAATAACAAATATATGAGACACACAAATTGTGCTATAGGAGGTCTAAGAGAACGTTTGCAGTTTTTTGGGAAGAGCTGTAATTTTCAATATTACATATTTAGATTCAATTTACAGTGGCTGACCAATTCACTAACATTTACACAGAACCAAACGAGAAGCCCAGCTTATTTTAGCACTGATTTGATTTTGTTTGGTCTTCTTATCCAAAAGACACATCACTACTACTTCAAATATGTAAAAGGAAGCACTAAAAATTTTCCTTCCTACTCTGTTTGAATGTGAAGAGTTTATGTGCATTGAATTGAGCTTTTTTACTTCAACTTCTTCACAGTACAACTGTTGCTTAAAATTCCAGTTTAGATTATAGTTCTTGATATTCACAATACAACCAACCATAATCTAGCTTAATTCTCATAAACAGTTGCTTTTTATTCCAAGTAAAAGTGAAATAAAACTGGAAAGTGCTAAGTTGAGCAGAAGTAAAACACAGACTCTCTCTTCATCAAGAAGTTGGTAGTGCACTGTGCCTTAAGGATGTAGTCAGATTTGCCCATGGTTCAACCTTGAATGTCTATCTTTCATAGTTAAATCTGTCTGAATTAATGGTTACACAGATCACACAAGAAACAAGTCAGTATATCCCCGTACTTTCCTTTAAATAGATGTATTCCTCTTGTTTGCTGTGAGTTTCTTCTAGAAGTCAACAATGCAAGCATTTTCAGAAAGTATATATTTGAATTAACAGCTGTATTAACAAACACCGATAATAAAATATGCCACATCCTTATAAACATTTCCTTAACAAAAGTTTACAGAGAAAAACAGGTCGTAAAAACCATGGGGTAGGTGCCTCCTGATTTTGACACTGTTCTTTATTTCAGCAGGATCCAAAAAAAGTGGAAAATGAAAGAAGCTAGTTATCTTTTCTGTTTGGCTGCTTTTAAAGGTAATATACAGTCCAGGTCTTTCTTGTCTTGTAATAACCGCCAAGCCTGAGGGAAAAAACCACAAGATTTTTTTAAAAAAGACAATATAATCTTTGCCATTAAAACTTAAATACCATTATAAGCAATAAACATCACAGTTCCACAAAATTAAGGTTGATTTTTTTCCCCTTCTTGAAAAATATGTTTCTGGGTTGAAGGGTTTTTTTGGTTCATTTGTTTTTGGGATTTTTTAAGGGAAGCAAAATCCAAAAAGTACACAAAATGCAATGAACTAATGAAGAAAGTAAAGCCTTTCAAGAACAGATTGAATTTTTTGAGACAGAGATGTTAACAATATTTAAGCATTACACTAGTACTCTAACTGCAAAATAATTGTCTCTATTCACACATGTCCAAGTCCCCAGTAAATTATGTTATGCACTGTCATTTCCGGAACTTAACTGTGTCTCTACAATAGCTTATTTCAACTTTCTCCTATGTTGTAGTGTGAGTTTCAGGACATCTGTTGCATCATGAGCCTGCAAAAAACTGCAGTGTCCCTCCTGTGTTTATACAGAAGTCATTTACTCTCAATGTATAATGAAAACCACATGAAGAACAATTCTCTCAAAGACATAACAGATTGCTTAAGCTTATATTAAAAAATGGTGCAGGATATTAAAAAGTTCTTGCACTTTAAGAGCTACTGTCATTTTTAAGGTATCTGGTAAAAAGGACATTTTTTCAGGGCTGTATCACCCTAGTACATTGCTTTCAGACAGCTAGGATCAAGCATCTGCTTTTACATTTTTCAGAAAACCAGAGGTTTGAAACAAACTTTGTTAACTGAAAACTCTGAAAAGAGAAATTCACTCTGATTCCACAGTATCGTGAGAACCCAAACCACTTCATAAACATAGCTCTAGCAGATCGATAAAATTAACTATTTTATGTACAAGTATGTGAACAATTCAGTGTTTTGTATGCTAACATGCTTAAAAAAAAGAAAAACTAATGAACATTCCTAAACAGAATTACAAAGAAAATATTATCCTTTTCTGACTAAGGTGTCTCTTATAGCATTTGCTCTATTACAAGTATCTGGCATTGAATTACTTTTTGCTGGAGAAGCCTTCAAGTTACTTGAAGACCTGAATAACTGGACTAAACATGAACCTCCAAGAACAACTTAATAGGGGAGTCTTAACTGGTTAAAGCTGGAAGCCAGTTCTATGCACTAATCCCTAGTCATAACTAGATAAAAAATAGTCAGAGATCACAGAAAACTAGAATTTGAGTTGCAATTCCAATGCAATAGCTATGATAGGAGACAAGCATAAAAGAGAGCTGGTAGCAAAAATTTTCAGAAAAAATATGTTTAACCAAGGTCTAAATTTTTCCTTGTTTCAGTGTCCTTCTCTCCCCTGACTGGGACAGTGAAAGTTCCTGTTTGAAATACTCATGTTCTAAAATTATGAATGTGGTTTTCCTAAAGAAAAGTACCCATCTAAGTAAGATACAAAAAATCAGAAAACCCCCATTATTTTAGTGGTGATATTTATCAAAAAAAAGGAATAGTAAGAAGTATAAAATATTATCTACTACCAGTCAAACTCATGTAGGAATAAATAATGAATGAAAACAAAATAGTAATTTTAAAGCTATTAACCATTGTTAAGGGTTTTACACACACAAGAAAATCTAAGAGAAAAGATTTTTACTATTTGAGTATCCATTTCAGTGTAAACCTGAAGTTTAATGGCAGACATTAATGAATACTCTTAAGAAATTATCTTTCCATACTTTTTAAAAAACCACATTTTTATTACTTATAGTACAAAGTATAAAACATCAGAAATGGGCAGGTTTAATGACTAGCATTTAAGATAGCATAACTATAATGAAAAACAAAGTGGCCAGAAAAATTACATGAGATTAACTTTTTACCTGTGCAAATTCATCTCTGATCATATCAAACTTCTGTTTCTCATGTACAGCTCTAGCAGTATTTGTCCCATCAAAGGGCTCTGAAAGATTAAAAAAAAACATGAAAACTGTTAAAAAAATCTAGAGTTTGGTTGTCTCTATAACCAAACATATAATTGCTTCCCAAAAGTGTTTTAAATAGTCAATTCCTCTTTGGTTCTCAAGCTTTCCTTCTACATAACATTTATCAAAAAAAAAAAAACAAACCAAACCAAAACTAAACCAACCAACAAAAAAACCCAAAACAATCCCCCCACAAGAACAAAAAGAACCCATACAAAACAAACAAAAGAAAAAAAAACAAAAAAAGAAAAAAAAAAGAAAAGAAAAAAGAAAATAAAAGGAATAAAAGCCCCAAATGATGAATTCTCTAAATGCCCTGAATGGACAACATCATCAGGGAGTTTGCAGATAACACGAAGCTCAGCAGTTCAGTTGACACTATAGGACAGGATGCCATCCAGAGGCACAAACTTGTGCAGTGGGTCCATGAGGATCTCATGAAAGTTCAACAAGTGCAAGATGCTACATCTAGGTCAGGGCAACCCCAGACATGAGTACAGTCTGCGAGAAGTCATGTAGAGCAGCCCTGCCCAGAGGGGCTTGGGGGTGCTGGTGGGTGACAGGCTGGACATGACCCAGCCATGGGCACTCCCAGCCCAGAGAGCCAAACGTGTCCTGGGCTGCATCCAGAGCAGCGTGGGCAGCAGGGCCAGGGAGGGGATTCTGCCCCTCTGCTCTGCTCTGCTGAGAGCCCACCTGCAGGGCTGCATCAGCTCTGGGGTCCCTGCACAGGAAGGACATGGACCTGCTGGAGGGAGTCCAGAGGAGACCACAAAGATGGTCAGAGGGATGGAGCACCTCTCCTAAGAGGACAGACTGAGAGAGCTGGGGTTGTTCAGTCTGGAGAGTAGGCTCTGGTAGATATCTCATAGCACCTTCTAGTATATAAAAGGGGCCTACAAGAGACCTGGAGAGGTAGTTTTCACAAGAGCGTGTAGTGATTGGACCAGGTGGAATGGCTTTAAACCAAAAAGGGCAAGCTTGAGATTAGATATTAGGAAGAAATTTTTACTGTGAAGGTGGTGAGGCATTGGAAGATGTTGCTTAGAGAAGCTGTAGATGCCCCATCCCTGGAAGTGCTCAAGGCCTGGGTGGATTGTGGCTCTGAGAAAACTGGTCTAGTGAAAGATGTTCCTGTCAGTGGCAGGGGAGTTGGAAAGAGATACTTAAAGTCCCTTCCAACCTAAACTATTCTGTGATTCAATGAATGCTCTAATGATATGTAATTCAAAATAAACTCAGGTTATTATTATCTATTGAAGCAGAACTATGATTGTTCTGAATTTATGCAGTAGTAATTACCTTCTACAACTCAACACTCTGTGATAACATATCAGACTATGATTTTCCATATTAAAATATTTTGAAATTTATTACACATGAGACTCTTGGAACTATTCACTTTAGGTTCATCTAATTCAACAGTTTCTCAGTGAAATACTGAGAATATAGCAAAATATTTACTATAACTTTTTATATAAGACATACCAACTATCGTAAAATATATTTTATCACTTCATACCTATTCTGCAGTATTTGTTCAGAAGTTATCTATTTGGGGGTTCTGCATCCTAACTGACTACAAATTAATGTGATGTTTCTCCCTCCCCTCTTTTTTTTATCCTAACTTAATTAATAGTTTGGAACTTTTTTAATTGCAAGACTGAAAAAGTACTTCTTGGTACTGATAAGGTTGCCAGCATTAAAGCAATTGATACTAAAATCTTATGATGCAGGGACTATGCATTACAGGGACTATGCATTACAGGGACTATGCATTACAGTGTGCTAAAAAACAAATCTTATCATCTTTTCTTCCTTAGAAGAGAACTGCTGAAGTATGTTTCACAATAGTAAAATGTATGCAAGTACTCCAGGACCACTGAATAACAGAAGTATTTGTTAGATCACGTACAATTTTTTGTAGTTTTGGTTATGAATTACTTTTATTCAGACAGTGATGCATAGTAAAATAAAGCATAACAGAGACACCAGAAAATCTTATGCCTTTATGGAGACTAGAATTTCAAATTTGGTACATACTCCATGGATTTAGGTTTTTATTTCTGCTAGTTTTTTTAATTCACCAAGAAATTTTTTCATGCAATAAATGTTGTATTTAGTGGTTTTCTGAAAGGATTCTTTTCAAACTACTTAGTTTTCAGTGGACAGCTACAGGCAGATTTATTTTATTTTAGAATGCATCATGCTTCTAGTTTAGAACAAAAACTGGCAACCAAATAAAACATACACTGTTCTGTAATGTCAGTCCCATTATTTGAGAGCATGATCTAGTATAATCAAGAATTCCATGTCTCTTACTGTGTGAACAAATACAGTATTTCATTTGTGTACCATAAGTGTGATGGTAACTGCTTTTTTAATGCTAGGACCTTGATGTTGAACCAGGTTATATCTGTATTTTAAAGCAACAAGGGCTGAACTGTACAATCTTCTGAAACCATCAGTAGAAAAAAGGCACTCCAGTCACGAAAGCTAACTCACATATTCCCTTTAATCTTCCTGCATATTTACTGTCAAAAGAGAAACTGGTTCTTTGAAGCACAGCAAGAATAATTTTACAATCAGCTACTCTTTACACCACTACACTTTCTAACCATCAAGACAGTAAGAGTTTATTATAAGTTATTTTGTTCACACAGAGAGATGAGACTATTAAAAGAAAAAAGTAACACAGATTTAACACTGATGCTTGAGGGAAAGGCTAAAGGGAATAATTTTTCCAAACAAAACTACAAGATATCATGTAACTCCAGAACTGTTGCTGACCAAGCCCTGAGGAATTATTTTTAAAATTATTTTTAGCATGTGGTTCTGGAAGACTTGAAACTACAAATATGGATCAGGTGCACGTAGATGGCTTCTGATTTGATTTCCCTAAATGATTATCAATGTAATTACCTCATAAAATTGCCCCATTTCTAACTTTTCCTTTTTCAATAAGACATTATTGGATATTACTTGATACAGACAAGATGTGCAACTGGACAACTGGATGACAACTGAAACTAGAATAGCCACTAGTCATTTAGAGCTTCTGAAAAGGATTGTTCAAAATATTACCTAAAAGCAGGGTTCTCTGTATCTTTGTATCCCCATCATGGTAAAAGCCTATTATATTTTAAAGTGTCTGGAAAGAGCATCTCTACTGTATTTGTTTCTCTAACAGCAGAAATACATGCAAGAATCAGCCTTAAGGCCCATAACATTTAAAACAGAACACAGTTTTTCTTTAGCTAATCTAAATACAGTACTACATGCAGAATTGTGGAAATTTGCAGGCACAGACTTGTGTAATCTATCAACAAATACATTTTAGATATTTAAAAATATATGCAATAGTGCCAATTACTGAAATTTTATTCTGCAAACAGGAAAATTTGGCAAAGACTTGGAAAACGGAATATATTGGCATGTTTAGCTAACTTTTGAAGTTTTCTCAAGTACACAGAAATTTACGTATTTTATTAACCTTGTTCAGCTTAACAGCTGTTATAAACATGAAGTCTACTTTGAGTGAAAGTAGGAGATTCTATTTTTCCCTCCCAAATTAGAAGTAAAAACTTGGTATGTAAGACTAAAGCAAATAAGTCTTGAACCAAGGAAGGAATCAGATATGTTACCTATAGGTAATTTTGCCTTTTTTAATAGTTCAAATGAAATCACTTTAAGGAAAAGCTGTGCATAATCAAGACCATTAAATGCAAAATCTAGCGTGTCTATTTTATATGTTGATGTTTATTCTATTTTCCAGTCTGGCAGAAAGATAATCTAATTATTCAAGCACTTTGTAATGTTATAAAATACTTGAGAACTTGAAACACACAGCCTCCTGCAGCACAGTGGATCAGCATCATGTGACAGCAGCAAACATAGCTGCCCAGCATTCCCACCTCCCACATTCAGACCAGAGCCTTGGCTATGCCTCACTACGCTATTCTGAATCATTTCAGCTGTGCAGATACTCTAATTCTCACATTTCTCAACTCTAAGACTACAGAGTCCAGCGCAACCATATTTCAGTGTGTTCTTCCATAACTTTTGATTTTTCCCCAAAAGGTCAAATAAAGAACAGGAATCCCATCACATGGCTTTACAGTGACATTCATATAAGTATGGCCAAGTTGGTGGGCTCTGGACAACAGAATAACCAAGCTCACCAGCAGCTGAAATTGACTGAAGGTGATTCTCTGCATAGAGCAGCACAAATGCAGAAAAGTACACACATATGCCAACCCTAATTCTCATCAAACTTGAAGAATGTCTGTCCAGCCACAGGACTTCCGCCTTATTTTCCTCCTCCCCCAGCAAAATCTTCTCAGTATCTAACAACTTTCCCCATACCATTTGTCTCCTGTTTAAGTTATATTCCTATTTCATTCTGAGACTTCAACCCTTGATATATTTATCCTAATAATCTCCACTGGTTTCTATCCAGGGCCCACACCACCTCTCCTTTGTGACAACTGTTTCCAGTTACACAGCAACTCTCAGTTCCTTCCTTACTTTTCATTCTCCTTACATCTAAATCCTTCTCTTGGTCTATCAACTTATTCTTCCTTAGTGCAGGCTTCATCTCCTATGTATGCTTACCTGCTCATCTTCTCCATATACATTCCCCATGGCAGCTGAAAGGTGTCACTAGCATCTGAATCAGGTTGCCTGTATAGTGGTCCTGCTCAGTTCTGTACTGAGACAGCTGAGACCTGCAACTCCAACAGGTAGCCTGGGTTTACCCTCCAGTTCTGGATGGCATCATGTAGTCTCTGTACAAAGTCTACGTTCACTAGCCAAAAATACTACCTACAAGGGCATCAACATACACATAACCCGGTCACTGCAATGCCAGAGCATTTCTAGAACAAAGACAATTCTTCAGGAATAATCCGAGTATGTGCCTAATGTGTTTTTTCAGAAGTTCAAACTTAGCAAAACTGGCAACTAGTTTTGTTGAACAGAAAAACACACACTACTGGTATAAAGGCCATTCCTTATCAAAGTCTTAAGCCCTGTTCCAAAAGTAACAGGGCGATGAGTGCTCTTGAAGAAAAGGTCAGGAGTACTATTTTTAAACACGTTAGAACTTAAAGCTTCCTTCTCAAATGTTTTTGACAGGACTGTTTACAAGCTATTTACACTGGTTAAACTTCTTTCTCTACTAATGCAATGTATTTATCAAAACACAACTGAGGTAAAATCTAATTGATAGATTTATGTATTTAATGTCTTAAAGTTAAAAATTAAAATGCAGCTACATATTTTACCTTCTACACAAATAAATTTGTTTCTCCATTCAATACCATCAGGTCTTGCAATAGCCTTGGCCTCACGAACTGAAATCATTTGATGGCTCCAGCTAAAGAAAAGAAAAACAAATTGCAAAAAAATTTAACTCTTAGTTCTAAATTCAAAGTATCAGTTTACATTAAAAAATTGTCAGATTGCAATGTCTTATCCTGGATAACACAGTATTTTATAATAATGAGTAATTTAGTTTAACATCATGGGTAGGAAATAAGGAAATTTTTCTACTAATCAAGTTCAAGTACAAAAAGCATCTCCAAAACAGAGCATCACAGGTATCCATGAGTAACATATATTCACAATGGAATTCTTTCAACTAATAATGTCAAACTAAATTTGCACTGTCACCTATATTTATTTCTATGTTCAAAATAAATAACAGAATCAAATCATTCAGAATTTTCTGTAGGAAGAAAATAAATGCAGGGAATAAATGCAGACAGGTTACATACTGCATTCCATAAACAATACTCAATAGCATAAAGATATGTAGAAGAAATTTGCTCATAGACCTTCCTTGTGCAAGTTACCTATTACTAGAAAGTTTCAACACTTCATATATGCTGAATTTTAGATCTGCAAGTACAACAACTCTCTACCACTTTCTGCAGGCAGCATTACAACAGCAAAACAAGGAAATTACCACACTTATACAGGAACAACACACAGATTATAGGGCAGTCTTTATGACGTGCCACCATCTTCATGATGCTTGGCACAACAATATGCCAAATGTAATGGAAGCCAAAAAAAAACCACTTCCAGATTTATATTCTTATCTACCCAGCCACTTCTCAGGTACTCTTAACTAAAGAGAGCAGCTCATCCTGCATGCCATCATGTGCCAAATCCAAGACAGGGGACTGGGCCCCAGCAGGGGTTTATAAAAGGCAGATCCTGACTGACCAACCTGATCTCCTTCTGTGACAACATGGATATGGGAAGGGCTGTGGATGTAGTCTGTGTGGACCTTAGTAAAGCCAGTGACACCATTTCCTACAGCATTATCCTGGAGAAACTGGCAGCTGATGGCTTGGGCAGATACACTGTTCTCTGGGTAAAAAACTGCCTGGATGTCTGGGCCCAGAGTGAAGTTACATCCAGCTGGTGTTCAGTCACCAGTGCTGTTCCCCACAGCTCGGTACTGGGGCCAGATCTGTTCAATATCTTTATCAGTGATCTGAATGAGGGGATCAGGTGCACCCTCAGTCAGTTTGCAGGTGACACCAAGCTGTGTGGGTTATTGATCTGCAGGAGGGCAGGAAGGCTCTGCAGAGGGATCTGGACAGGCTGGATCATGGGCTGAGGCCAATGGTGTGAGGCTCAATCAGGCCCAGGGCTGGGTCCTGCCCTTGGGTCACAACAACCCCAGGCAGCTCCACAGGCTGGGGCAGAGTGGCTGGAAAGGACCTGGGGGTGCTGGTGGCAGCAGCTGAACGTGAGCCAGGCTGTGCCCAGGTGGCCAAGAAGGCATCCTGGCCTGGATCAGCAATAGTGTGGCCAGCAGGAGCAGGGCAGGGATTGTCCCCCTGTCCTGGGCACTGGTGAGGCCACACCTCGAGTGCTGTGCTCAGGTTTTGCCCCATTATTACAAGAAACACACTGAGGTCCTGAGGTTTCTCCAGAGAAGGCATATGGAGCTGGGGAAGAGTCTAGAAAACAGGCCCTTATGAGGAGCAGCTGATGGAAATGGGTTTTTTTATTCTTGAGAAATGAAAGCTCAAGGAGGACTTCATTCCTCTCTACAACTACAATAAGGTTGTAGCCAGGTGGGAGTCAATCTCTTTTGCCATGTGTCAAGGAAAAGAAGAAATGGCCTTAAATTGCACTAGGAGAGGTTCAGATCAGATATTAGAGAATGATTTTTCAGTGAAAGAGTAAACAGGCTTTGGAGTAAGTTGCACAGGGAAGTGATAGAGATAGAATAACTATCTCCGGAAAAGTCCAAGAGATGTCTGGATGTGGGACTTGAGAATATATTACAGGGGTGGTTACAGTGTGCTGCATTGGCAGTTGGATTAGATGATCTTAAAGATCTCTTCTAATCTTGATGATTGTGTAAACCAAGGAGCTACCACACCAGTGAAACAGCTGGACCACCAATACATCACCATATGTCCTAACTAAATGGGTAGAAATAGCTGGGCAATGTGTTGCCAGCTGTACCAGTCTTATGCTGGTCTGTACACCTGACAGATGAGCTGGGCTGGGCACATCAACCACCTGCAGTAAATCTGCAGATATCAATAGTAAATTAAAATACTGTCTATAAGTCATCAGTTAAATACGAAAGAATTCTGTTCTCCCTAGACCACAGACCTGCTGTCGTAACTCCATTAAGTCAATGATGACAAGACAGCTAAAAATCCGTGACCGTAATTTTTCAGATTATCTTGAATACAACTCATTAGTAAAGCCTTCTATGGAGCTCAGTTAGTTGAAGAACTTTACTTCCTCAGGACACATCATTTAACGATATAAATAGGGCTTGTTTTTAAAAAATGCAGGACACAGCACATGAAAAGATATAGCATACCTCAGTTTGTATATTTAGCTTTCTTTTGATATATTCTTTAGAAATTAGTAATGATTATGATCTTCTCTAGCATTCAATGTAAACTAAAGCCTCCATTCTAACCCTTCATCCTTCCTCTTCTTAATTCCCACAGTAGACTACTGCTGGGATAAACAGAGATAATGTGAAGCATCAAATACTTTTCTATCATGTCTTTTAATAATCAACCATCAACACAGGCTTAATTCAGATGAATTGCTAAAAAAAAACCCAAGTGCATGCGCACACACACACACACACAAAGACAAAAGATAAAACCCCTGTGCTCAGAGCTTCAAACAAGCTTAAACTGTAGCTCAAGAACACTGATTGCGAGCAGAAGTTTAGTTTGCTTTTTTTAAGAGCTTATTTAAAAATCAGAGATCCAG